CAGCAGCGTCCCGGGAGCTGCCTCCATCCTGAGGGACCGGGTGTCTCAGACGCGTTATCAAGCCTGACAAGAAAATAAATAGACATACAGAGGTACATTAATACATATTCATTCATGATCTCAGAGCAGAACACTTGTTTTGTAGAGCATGAGCTGTTTTATCAACTTCTTTCGGGCTCATGTTACTAATACTTGTATGCAGAAAACCACACTCAACCGGCAGCATTGTGTTGGTGGTAAAGGATGAGCTCAGGAATGGTGCTGAACAGGTACTTCTCCGCCAAGTAAAAGGCGCTCTCGTCTGTCTCTGTCTGCCTGATCTGGTAATGTTTCACTCTCGGATTCTTCTCCCCATTTGACCTGGAGGTCAAATCACACCATTATAAGCAATCTAAGTATTTAAACATGAGTCAGTGACATATCAGGCAAATCAGATGTAGATACACATATCAGAATTGCATCTAGTTATATATAATCTGTGAAAGTTAATCACATTAACAATTTCAAGTATAATATAAGTAAAGTTACCCTGGTGCTTTTGTGAAGACCGACACTGTGTATACGCCTGCCTGCCTGGAGTCACGCACCATGAATGCACCTTCCTTTCCCTGAAAATAAAGTGTTGAAACCACATAACCATCAAAATGTAATTATACATTCGTTTTAAAGTCCCACTTCATTATGCCCCATGTAACTACATTCATCGAAATACACATTAATTCAGTAGTTTTTGTATAGCACCAAATCACAACACATATTATCTCAAGGCACTTTGCACAGTAAGGTTGAGCCCTTGCAAAATTATGGAGAAACTCAACAGTTCCCAACAAGTAAGTACTTGGCGACTGTGGAGAGTAAAAAAAATCTATCTGGGCGATCATCTGCCACGACTGCTATGGGTGAGTGGTGATAAATGGGGGAGAGACGAGAGGTGGGTGGAAATGAGGGGAGAGAAGAGGGGAGGGATCATGAACCCTTCTATCATGAACCTTTCTATCACACACTGCCAGCAGAGCCGTGAGGGGCAATTTCCGATTCAGGCATGCACTTCAGCACGCAGACTAAAGAGCGAGGCATTGAACCACCAACCTTCTGGTTAGTGGACAACCTGCTCTACCTCCTTAGTCGCTAAACACAGTTGCCAAAAAATATTTCTGTTTTATTATAAAAGGCACAAGAACTGTTAACATTTTCAAACAGCTTTTCAAATAATTTCTTTAATCTTTAGCTAAAACTAGCACAGGCACGAGGGTCACTTTGACTAAAAGACAATGATGGATAGCTGTTTTAGCTCCTTCTTGCAAAACGTAGCAAGAGCTCTTCACAGCAGGAAATTCTACATTGGAGGAAACGTTGTGGTTGTGAAACATTCGCAGCTGTTTCTACGTTGTTAATTTGCAGGTGCATTTGAACTGCCCTGCATCATACAACATACAACATCCTGATAATTATCAGAAGAATTATTAGGATTAAAAGTCAAAACACAGCTGGAGACATAAACAAATGAAAATTTAATAATCATCAGATCCTTAAATATTGGCATTCTTTTTACCTCTTTCATTAGCAAACTCTCTGCTTCCCCTCTGGTGATGTTTTTATTGTACCATCTGTGAAATGACAAATGAACCACAATTAAGACAATCCTGCAGCGGACAGGTATCCACATGTTCACAGTTAAATAGAAAAGAGAAAGAGAAAATAAAACTCACTCAAATCTCTCAAAGGTGTCAGACTTTTCAGCTACGTACGCACTGGGCACAAATCCTATATTCCTGGAAACAATTCAGAAAAGAGGTGTGAGCGGTGTGAGCCAGAAGCGAGAATGGACAGACATTTCGGTGCCTTACCCCTGGTTGTCCTGCACAGCCCACCAGTCAGGGTGGGAGCTTTTGATCAGGACATACTCATGATCTTTCTGAAGAGGCAAGTTTTTATCTTCCACTGGTGTGTAGTCTTGCAGAGCGATGACAAGCCTCTGTCCTCCATTTTGCAGTTCCATCTACCAAAGATAAGAAGAAAAATGTATAAAAGGTATTTGAACCTGATAAAAATAGCAATAACAGCTCAAATGTACATGAAAATAAGTATACAATAACATGTTCAGTCACAACACCCCATAGAAAAGTTCTTAAAATCACAATATTTGGGTTATATCACACTTAATAATACGTATGATATGTTTACAGCAAGAAACAAATGTAAGCAGAAGAAGACGCTAAATTATAATCTGATATGAAAAATACATGATAACGAAACTGAGCTGCTTATCTGTCCACAAACCACAGGAGCATTTGCAATTTGAAAATCCAAAGAAGCAAAATATTAAATATTGAATTAGAAGGAAGCTCTGACCTCCACCAAGGCTACTGCTCTATCTCATCAAAGCAGCGTTTCTCATTAAGTACCTAGAATGTAGTGCCGCTCCATTTCTAATTTGTCCTGCCACAGTTTCATTATGACATTTTTCAAACTTCACTCATAGTAACATAAGAAAACTCTGACATGGTGCTTTGCGCTGTTGCATTGCATGTCTGTGTTCAGCACTATTTGCAGTGTTTTTTTGCCACATGCTCCCTCGCACTATCATCCATAAAGTTATCGCCCATGCAGACAGTCAGACCTCATCATTTCAGCTGCAGTAGAAAATGCACATCCAAGTGGCATCCACAAGTGTTCTCTCTCGAACTAGAGCTGTTTAATCTGTGTGCCTGTCACTCAGAATATGTTGCACATGAGAGCAACCATCTTGTACGTGCATTTCAACTCTACCGGCATTGATTGAATTAATTCATGGGAAACAAAAAGACAATCCTGGATCCATCCGTTTCTTCGGATCTGCTCGAATTACATCAGTGTTGACATGCACATGAATAAAATTTCAACAGCACGTAATATTTTTGCTTTAGAAAGAGCTACCTCTGGATCCGGGAGTTGAGGGAGTGGTTTTTTGGAAGCTGTGGAGAAATCAGAAAATTTAAATTAGAGAATGTTTCTTATAAATATACATTTTTTACAAAATAGTTTTCTACATTAATACATTTTGTCGTCATATTCACATGACAAAAACATCCCATTACTTTACTCTCATTACTTAACAATGTCAAGATATATAAAAATACACAAATTAGGAACTGGACAAAACAAGTGATGAAATAATACAAACCATAACCCAGTGGATCATATACTTGACACCCTGGCGCCAGTTTCTCTGTTTGTTGGCAGCATCTCCATTTTCCATACATCAAGATGTTTGGGTGGTATTTTGTGACCAAATTGTTGTGTTTTGTCTCTAAATCAGACAAGATAAAAAAAACAGAATGAAATTAATCTAAAATCCATAATTCACCTTAAGTTATTGCAGTGCTTTCGTTGCTCTAAATATTTCTCACCTTCTTTGAGAGCTCTGACCCATCTCTGCCGACAATCATTGTCTGGGGCGAAAATGTAGAGGTAATGGTTGTCATGTAAAATCTGTGTAAATAATTGTATTTTAGTAAGTTTCATTTTGTTTTTGTAATATTACATTCCCAAACCTGCATCATATTTGCTGTACACTGAACTATATTGAATTAGTGTGTATTTTGTATTTTGGTGAACCTCACCTGAAAAGGGTACTTATAGTTGCATGGTATAGGAACATCACAACACACAATCTCCACACACTTGATACTGGAGAGCTCGATGCAACCTTTCATCATCGGCTTTTTCTGAAACAACATGATCTTTACTTTATGTTTCCTGTGCACAGTGTAGATATAATTCAAACTACATTAAGTTCCAAGGAGGCCGCCTTGATTAACTAGTGTGTTTACTGAATATGTTCATGTACTTACCCCCGGTCGTCGCTCAGAGTACTTCAAGTCTTGTGTATCCAATACAAAGAATCGCTCCTTGTAGTTACAAGGTGATGTTCTTTTCTTTTGTTGAGATTTTTTGATCATAGTCCCCTTTAAAATCACCCTGGGGAACATGGTAAGAGCGATGAACAACACCGTGAGAAACACTGAATTTTATCAGGAGAGACTGAGAACTTCACTGCATGTAACAGAAAAAAAAGTAAGAGCAAAGTGGGTTGCTCAGTGTAACAGAAGCTTTGGAGCTTCCGGAATAGAGATACGGCATTCTGTAAACCACATCCTTGCTGCAACAAATGATCGACACTGATGACATACACTGACAGGTACTTCCACTGAAGTTGTTGCGATAAGCCCACATGTGCGATCACAGAAGAGTGATTTTTGAAAATTTTCCATGTAAAACTGCACCTTGAAGGTACTGACTGTATCCTAGAATTGATGGTGAAGGATGTTTCCACAAAAAAAATGTAATCAAGCTGAAAAAATAAGTATAATGGCAAAAAACCATAAAAAAGGTTTTACTTGGTGTCGGGAAAAGTTTAAAGCAGTATCAGATCTTAACATACTAACACAGGACTGATGATTTTTCCAACATTTCTTTTGAAATGTTTACTTCTTTTAAATTCATAAAATGTTGTGTAGCGTGTGTTTCACCTCATTGGTTGTGTTACTGACACAGTCTTTAACTTTGTCAGGATAAGCAGAAAGCATTTTATGATTGTTATCTCAAGATACACGAAAGTTGTTGTTGCTCATAATAGTAGTGGTGGTGGTTGTCGTAGACTTGTAGTAGTATTCGTGTTGTGGTTTTGAGTACTTCAGGTTTTAGGTCACAGAAAGACAGTTTAACACAATAAAAAGGTTGACCTTCTCTGATTGTCTAACAGTGAAACCATGTGTTGAAGCGATGATGTCCAGTTGACATGTAAAACATTAGAAGCTCCTTTTAAAATCATCACTTAAATTCACATTTTTATATAATCGGGAGCATAAATATATATTTTTATTACATAACCAAGAATTAAGCTGCAAACAGAAATTCAACTTTTCGTCAAATACCACAAATATACTTGATAGAGAAAAGTATTACTACACGGTTTCAAAATCTCGACCAATCAGCGTTTCGTTTATTCGTCACGAGCACATTTCAGCCAATGGGAATGGGACAGAGACCAATGTTCAGTGTAGTTAAGCAGCTAAGCTAAGAGCTAACAGCCCGGTGTTGTACCTCTGTTTACTTCACCTCTAACATCTGTATTCTCCCACCGGGGAGTCGTGTAACAGGTGTGTACGAATCTCGTCAGTTCCTCTGTGTGTACCTGTGCTGTTGGTCTGCTTCGAGCAACGAGGTTACTAGTTAGCAAGTGCTAGCATCGATACCGCTAGCCCAGTAGCCGCCATTGCTAGTTAGCTAACTCCGTGTTTGCATTAACAACGTTGTCAGTGTCGCGTAACTGGCTTTTAGACTGAGCACGTAACGCATCCAACGATGTAAACAAGCTGTGCGGGTGAGAGTGTCTGCTCCTCGGTCATCCGGCAGCAGCAGCTAACGCAAATAACCGACCACCCGCTGGTTGTGTTTCTCAAACGTAGTAAACTGGCAGACTAACGCTGTAATGTGCGGGGATGAGCCATGTGTGGCTCTGATCCTTCACAAAAACAACACAGTCATTCTATGACTTGTTATAAAGGTGGACACAGTAATATAATAATGGTGTTTCTACAGTTTTATATAATTACTACAGGCACGTTACTTCAGTAGGAAATTACAGGTCCACAACGTTCAAGTGGAGATATGGTGCGTTTAACTCTATCATGTGTTTGTGGCAGCTGTACGTTATTTTACACGAGAAACACATGAATATGAATTTAATCAAATAACAGTTATGCTGCATTAACACATTTTCTGTAATCTGATCGTGGCCGTTCTTTGTAATGAGTACACGTACTTCTGATACTTATATTTTGATGTCGGTTGCTTCCTTACCTAAAGGACCCACTTGTTTAACACTCATGTAACATCTTCAATATATGCGATACAGTACTGTTGTATGGCTGCACTGCTCGGTTTATTTGAAGGATTAATTGAACACTTACTTACTGTTAATATACACAACCATACCACCAAGTGTGTAACAGTTAAAAATTAACAACTCAGTGTTCTTGTGAAACTCACAGACGGTGTCTCTGTTTCAGTTCAACATCATGGGTGAACCGCAGCAGGTCAGTGCTCTGCCCCCTCCGCCTATGCAGTACATCAAAGAGTACACAGATGAAAACATCCGTAAAGGTCTGGCTCCCAAGCCACCTCCACCCATCAGAGACAGCTACATGATGTTTGGCAACCAGTTCCAGTGTGATGACCTCATCATCCGGCCTCTGGAGAGCCAGGGCATCGAGCGGCTCCACCCTGTGCAGTTTGACCACAAACGGGAGCTGAAGAAGCTCAACATGTCCATCCTCGTGAACTTTCTGGACCTGCTGGACATCCTCATTAAGAGCCCGGGTAGCATAAAGCGTGAAGAAAAACTGGAGGACCTAAAGCTTCTGTTTGTTCACTTGCACCACTTGATAAATGAGTACAGGCCACATCAGGCAAGGGAGACGCTGAGGGTAATGATGGAGGTGCAGAAGAGGCAGAGGCTTGAGACAGCTGAGAGGTTCCAGAAACACTTGGAGAGAGTGGTGGAGATGATTCAGGGGTGCCTCACCTCACTCCCTGATGACTTACCACAGATGGAGGGTCCAGATGGTGCTGGTGATGGGACAAGAAATGCATCTGCAGCAGCTAGTGTTGGTAGTTCTTCTGGCCTGGCTCCCAGGCTGAAAAGTGAACCTATGGATGTAGAGGAAGCAGGTGCCAGCTGTATGGCAGTGGCTCAACAGGACAAAAGCATCCCTCCTTCAAGGAGAGAGAAAATATGGGACAAAGATGCTGCTATGTGCAGTATTATTGATGAAATTGCTTAAGTTTTGTATTGAGTATTTGTGTTTCTTTTGTGCATCTTAACTGTTTTTGTGAGCTTATTAGTGTAAGAGAAGTTTGCTGGGTCTGAAATCCTGACTGGACTGGTGTTTTATTTAAAAGCAATCGCATATTATTACCTCTTCCTGTGAACATTTTCAAAGAATTTAGATGTCACTCAGATCAACTGGGGAGCCAACTTTCAGTTTTTGTAATAAAAAACAATTAAAATCTATTTGCAGAAGGGTACAATGTTTTCACAATCACACAGTAGTAGTAAATGTGTGTTTGTAGGGGAACTCTTGTCAAATGTTTTAAAATTGTATGTGCTTTAAGTGCTGTCAATGTAACTTGCACGCTCTCTAATCTCGTGAGAGTGGTCACAGAGAGGTCAGCATGTACTATAGTTGCAATATAACCTGTGTTGTGTTTTCCCAGGTTCTATGTAGACGATTGTCAGAAAGAAATTCAAGTCACCCCAGGCTGCCTGTTAAGCTTCTTCAAGTTTACTCTAATATGAAATGTTGAAAGGAGTTATGAAGTTTTGTAGTTGCAACACAGCTAATAGCTGTTCATTTACCAGTCTAGTATGTTGCAAGTTCAGCATCAAACTTCACTCCTCTACTCACCAGAAGCTGTGGGAAGCATTGTTTTGCTCTGACCCTTCTCTGCATCTACAGAAGTTGAAACCACAATAGTGAAAACTTAACACACAGCACCTCAGACTACCGATGAAAAGTTCTGAAACACCCCATTTTACTGTTTTTATTAAGACGGAAGCAGCTAAAGTCCAGTGAATAACCTGAATTGATTTTAGGGCGAAACTAAGCTAAGTCTGGGTCGAGCAGGAAGTTTCTGCAGTTTTTAAAAAACAGCCATCAATGTAGCAACAGCCATTAAAACATGCCTCACTAAGGGGACAAATTAAATTGTGAAAATGAAAAATACAATCAAAACAACAAGCCTTTCAAAATCAGAGACAGCTAATTACATATAATACAAAATCTAAAAGCAAATACATTAATACATTAATACATCATTTTAAAGTAATGACAAAATAAATGCATAAACAAATAAATAGCAGCTAAAATAATAAGGTAAAAGCTATTTGGTAAAGCATGTTTTAAGAGTTTCTCAGGTAAACTACTCCATACGGTTGGGGGCCTGACAGCAAAGGCCCTGTCACCTTTGGTCTTCAGTCCTGAGCTTCATTAAAAGAGGTAGAAACGGCATTTTGTTGTGAATTTAACAACTATTTTTCACTACAGCCTTTTCTAGCATCTGCTGAGGAATTGCTGTTTGGGGTGCGCATAAAGCAAATGCTTTACCTCATCTTTAAAGTACATATTTCTCAAAGGTGGTGTGGTTGCCTAATAGTCCTCTTAAAGCAACTTGCTGCAATAATAATGTTTAAAAGTGTGTTTGGCCAGCCGCCGCCTCTGGCCTCATTTCAATGACACTCCATGAGACAGGTTCCACCTGACTTGCACTGACTTGTGTAACACATGAACACTGGTTGTTTATGGTTATAACACAGCTCGGCTCTGCAGTTCGTCTTGTCCTTCCTTAAAAAGCACAAGATACAGCACCTCCAGACAAACATGTCAACCCCATTAACAGCCTTACATCAGGTGCACGTGGTTTCTATGTCAGGGTATGTTAATGCAAAACAAGTGAGGATCACCACCACTGGGCTTATGTCACTATCACCACCTCGCCCCTGTCTGATCTCATCTGCTGCTGCTGCTGCTGCAGTTGGGATTCCCTTCAGTCTCCATGCAACCGCGTCAGCATTAGCACGCTAACCTGTCGCACGAAGCCACTGATTCAGTACAAATTAAACCGGGTAAAAAAAGAAAAGAGGAGCATCTTTGTCGCAGGACTTATGTTATGAAACTCTGCATCCTTTGGTTTCACAACAGGGCTAAAAGGCGTGCGCTCAGCCAATGGGAGGGCGCGTCGCTGCGTCACGTGGTCTTTTATTTATGTAATGTAATGGTGTAACACAGTAACAGCGCCGAGGCTGAGCGTGTACGTCGGGTTAAGATCGGACACGGACCTGGATATAAGAAATATCCATGTGCACCTCTTCTTCTTCTGCGGGTCGTGTGTGGAGTCTGCAGCGGACTTCTGCTTCTTCGCTCGTTTTACTCCAGCTGCTCTGAGAGGGGAGCTGCCGTGCGTCTCACGGTAAAACCACCACGTTAGCGCTGGAAATGGATCATGCCAGTTTTATGCGTAAAGGACATTACTGAGGTGAGCGTGTGACAGCAGGAGTGAGCATTAGTCGAGCTGGACCCGAGCCGGTGGGTGATCACAGAGGAGGGGGACTCACTGACCGTGTCTGGCTGTCAGCGTGTTATTTAAATGGTCCGTGCACGACCACCACTGTTACTACTTCTTAGAAACCGTCCACATCTCCCCAAAGCTGCGTCTCTTCCCTTCTTCTGACCGACATAACCGCAGCCAGCCCCTTCCCCATGGATCTCCTGGAGTGTCCCCTGTGCCTCTTCCTCATGACCGAGCCGGTGACCGTGTCGTGCGGCCACTCGTTCTGCCGGAGGTGCGCGGTCGGAGGATTCCTCCCGTCCAAGTGCCCGGCGTGCAAAGCGAGGCTAAAACAAAGGGAGGTGAGGGCCACCAAGAACAACGTCCTGCTCATCGGCGTCGCGGAGAAGTGCTGCCCGGACCCGACCCGGACCATGTGCCACATCCAGGAGAAGCTGAGAGCCAGCGCATTCCCCGAGGCTTTACGCATCGCCAGCGAGGGGCTGGACACGGGTAAGAGACACAAGCACCATTCCAGCTGCTTACAGATGTTTGTCTGACGTGTAAACCTGCACTTCCGGTAAAAAGTTTTATAACACCTCAATATTTGTTTTTTCAAAGTGTCATTTAAATCCACACAATCAACTGTGTCAGTGTTTTTTGATTTGAAACACACAATAATCTCTACATGGTGATAACAAAGACTCATGGAATTTAATGCTGAATTAAAGTGAATCTAGAATATGTGTTTATTCTGAAGCGGAACACACCCATGATGTTTTTTTTAATGCTGGATATTAAATATTGTTCATATCGTTTGTCCAAACTCTACATTAGTTCCCATTAATGTGTCACAGGCAATTATATGCAAAAGCAAACTCCAATATATATATATATATATTATAGTCTGACAATGTGTATATTATTGTATTGTTTTGTATTGTACAGTACAATCAATCTCTGACCATCCGGTCTGTCTTCCTCTGTTACATTGTTTTATTCTCACCATTCAGACAACAACACACAGCCGCCTACTACTTCCTGCAACACAGCATTGACCTAATGATGCATAAGAGGGTGTAATAGTAACACACTTTGTTCCAACACTCTCTCTGTGCAGACAGAGGGTTTGTGAGTCATCAACAAACAAAGGTCACTTGTAGAACTTGTTAATTTTGTATTAACATTAATTTTTGTTTCATGTTGCAGCTGAATACCCCTCACCTCACCCTCCCCTTCCAAACACGAAAGAGAACCTATGGTAGCCTTCAGTTTTCTTAAAACTCAAAAGGTGTTTTTTCCAGTCTGGACAACTGTAAATAACATGGCAGCGATCGTACGACCCGCTCCCGATGTAAATATTAAACATTTCAATATAAAGCGCCTATTCGAGGGTAAAGAAAACAACTATTCGCAAAGTTTAGATCAAACACACTAGTAAAAACAACACTAGATTATTTTATATTTAATTTCTGCCAATAGATCCCTTTCACCTTAATCTTACACACTGGACCTTTAATCCCTGACACATAAATGGACTGTATTTATATAACGCCCTTCTGGTCTACAGTACAAGTCACATTCAGCCATTCACACTATTCCAGCACTTCGATATACTGCACTTTTTCTATCCCACACCATTCACAAAGCCATCAGGGACAAAGTGGGGTCCAGTGTCCTGCCCAAGGACACTTTGGACATGGTGACTGGAGGGAGCACTCGCTCTACTTCCTGAACCACAGCTAGCCAAGGGCCCATTGTAGTAGTGACTTTCAAAAAAAACTAACAAATAAGCCACTAAGGTTTGAATGGGGGGATCTCAGTCCAACGATGCTCTGAATCAGCAGCTAACAAATGATATGTCCGGTGTGCAGCCTGTCTTGCATTCATGGACTAGATTTATTAACACTTTCCATAAAAGATGATTATCAGCAGAAAGAAATTTAACCTTTTGAATTCCAAAGCACAAAACAAAACTGAAATAGCTACACGGTCAAAAACTGTTGATTCTCCCAAATCAAACCCACCCCTGATTCCCATCACCAGGTTCCCCATTATATTCCTTCCACAACAACAATGCTCCAGCCAGTTTTCTATGCTGCGACTGCGTATGCAAAAAATGCAATATAAGAAAAATAAACACTGCAGCTGAACACCCCTCACCTCACCCTCTCCTTACAAACATGAAAAATAACCTGTGGTAGCTTCAGTTGTCATAAAAACTCAAAAGTTTTTAGTTTATCCAGTCTAATGTAAAAAACATGGCGGTCCCCGTAGAGAGGACCCCCTTGGTGTAAATATAAAATATTTGAACATAAAGGACCTTTACTGGGGTAAAGAAAACTACAATTCATACAATTTAGATGAAACGAACGAGTGAAAACATCATTATTTCAATTATTTTGCATTAAATTCTTGCCAATAGTTCCCTTTCACCTAAATCTTACACACTGAACCTTTAACATCAGTCTTTGTTGACCGCAACCTTATTTTTTTGAGCAGTTAACTGACCCCCTTATATAACCTGAACCTGTTAATAATACTAAAAATGGGTGTGTTCCAAATGTTTTAAAAGGCAGTGTTGATGAAAGGACTGCTTGTATAGGAAAAAAAGGAACATGGATACCTTGGATTGCATTGCAAGATAACAAGAAGATGGACTAGTTTAGAGTCACACTTTTCATTTAGTGCGCACAGTCTGTTGCCCAGTGATTGTGAGTGGCAGTGCATCTATTTCACAGAACGATAATGCAATGACAGGGAACTCACATTGAGATTGGATTGATTGTGTTCGAATGACCTAAATGTATAACTGGGTCAGTGATCAGTCTCCAGACGCTGCTTCCTCCTTGGTAAGTTTATTAGAAGTCTTGTTTTCCTCTCTGTTAATCCACTTAGGCAAAACAGCAAAGATGTAATATGTTTCAGAATAATCAATCAATCAAACTTCATTTGTGTAGCCCATATTTACATATCACCAAGAGTGAGGAAATACTACCACAAAAGAAAGGTTTTAACTGGGGAGAAAAAGGAGGGAGTGAGGGATCCTTATTCCAGGACAGAGAGAGGTGCAATAGATAGACAATGAAAAGACAATGCCTAATATACATGGAGAGGCAAATCAATTTTAGAAGTAGTTACACAAAAGAAAATGTGAAACAGAGATGAAGTGAGCACCAATGACAGCTGTAATGATAGTGGTATTCACAGTAAATAGTATATCGTGTAGCAGGTTTATTGTATATGTAAGAATGAGAAATATGCTACAGAGGGTTACCTGCATCGGTTTGATATAAAATGTCCTATAATCACATACAGTAGAAGAAGCAGTAATAGCAGCTATAACAGCTGTTGTCAGAGAACAATGTTGGACTCAATTTCTGTTTATTGAGCGGTTTTAGCACATGTCTGCCGTTAAGAAGCCCTGCACAGAAAAGAATGGGTTGCAAAGGGAACATTGTGATATATTTTCATAGCTCAGAGCGCTGGATTCCTAGAAGCAATCAGATATTTTCGTCTATTTTATCAGTGGAGTTACTTATCTCCTGCAATTGACCTTATTTTCTCCATTCAGCAGCAAGAAAGTAAAAAAAGGGACAACTACTGCCCCAGTTTATGAAGTGTGTAGGCTTCCAGGAGTGTTTACTGCTACAGTGAATCTACAGACGTACAACGTCGCCATCTCTGTCAATCCAATTAAACAAATATTCAGTCATTCAGCCATTTAAGGTTGGGCTTGGTCTTTTTCATTTTATAATTTCTTTGTATGGGCATTGTCAAGTGCAGAGGGTGTGTTTGTGATTATAACCTTTACATACAATAAACAAACATTATTTAACTGGAGCAGCAGCTTTATGCAAAAGCGACTGTATGAGTGATGTAACTGATGAATTGAAACTGATGGCAGAGGCTTTCAAGGGGTATTTAAATGGGGATCTGAGCCATCCTGTGGAGTCATGATCTGTTTAATAAGCTCTGCATCAGTGATGTGTGGTACATGAGGTGTGTGGTTTAAAAGTTTATTTATTTAAGTCATGTTCTAAACCAACTTGTTATGCAGGCTGCTTTATACGTGTCATTGCATGTGTTAAGTTTGTTGTTAGGAACATGTGTAACTACTTTTTCTCAGTTACTTAACCTCTCTCTGTTTTTCCACCCTCAGCCCCAGATGACCTGAGTTTGAAGTTGTACAGAGCAGAAGCTAACTGTGGCCTGATGCGTTTCTCTGATGCTCTGACAGACCTCGACTACCTCTGCTGCCTTCGACCCAACTGGACCGAGGTGAGTGATGGGACGTCTCATGTCCTTTTCATCCCATTTCTGTCTGTCTGTCCGGGTCTCAGGGACAACTTCAGGAAATGTCTTTGTCACTTGGCCTCAAGGATGACGTGATTAGAATTTGGTGGTCAAAGGGTCAAATGTTATCTCACTCAACAAGTTTTTGGCAATTACTCTAGATTTCATGTGCTAATTAGCACAAAAAATCTTATCTTAATGCCTTTTCTTTAATTCCTTAAAGTCAATGTTTTTTTAGCCTGGACAGACATGGATGTAACTGCAACTTGACAGACTGATGAAGGAGTTCAACGAGTCAGTAACTGCAGTGTCTACACAGCAGAACAGAACAAATTCACCGTACGTCCATGGATTAAACCAAATTCACTGCTGTCTTTTTACTTCAGTTGATCTCTCTGCAAGTCTGCGGACTTCAACCGCAGAAGGACTTAATCATCTGGTTTTGTAATGTGCATTTAATAGCACACATGTAACCAAGAAAGGTGCTGCCTCTTTCATTTATTTAGATTTGTGTCAGTGTACTTGTAGAAAGCTGGCCCACTAAAGATGATTTTATCTGCTTTTATTGACGTTATGTCATTCACAAAGTTATGCAAACAACTACTTATGTCATAATCGCTCAGTGCCAGTGGGTGGCCCACTGCTAATGCAGTCATTTCATTTTATTTCCAGAGATCTGTTACATCACTTTTAACTGTCACATTACATTCAAGCAGTTAAGTGATGCAAACGACAATCAATGCATTTGTGTAAACCTTTCAGTGAGGTTGATGTTCTCTGCAGTGACCGGGTTTGAATGTGTAATTCACTTTAACAGGCAGTGATGTGCTGGTTGCTTTTCTCTCTCTCTGTGTGCAGGGCTTCTTTCGTAAAGGGAATGTACTGCTGGAGATGGGTCAGCAGACAGACGCTCTCATCCAGTTCCACCACTGCCTCAAACTGCAAACCGACTTTGTTCCTGCAAAGAGTCAAATCAAGAAGGTTTGTTAACATTACCGGAGGGCTGTTAATTTTATTGATCTTTTACTTATCCTTTATTTAACCAGGAATGTTATTTAGATATATGTCTATTTGTCAGGGAGTCCCAGTCAAGATGGGCCAGCAAATAAAAAAAAAAAAAGGTTCAAGAATGGACAGAGACAGCATAAAGACATACTTAATCACAGCAATCAGACTAAAGCACAGAACAGACACACTAACATATGGGAAATCATACAGCTCATTCCAAGCATGTGCATGTAAACACAAGCTGGGACCAGAAAGATAATTTTGTGGCTGCTGTAATGAATTAACAGACCAGATAAGTAACACTCAGTAGTAACAGAATGGTACTCAGTAGAAAGCGTACCTCCCTCAATGCCCTACAATCCCTTTAAATCAAATCAAGCTGCACCAAATTGCACACATTCATAGATATCAGTTCATTTAATGTGCCTGATTTTTTTATTTAGATCCAGGAAACATTTTCTGGGAATTCTCTGCCCCATTTTATGGATCTGCACAGAAATTGAATGGGCTCTTTTGTGGCCCATGTCCCAGGCAGGCAGGCAGGCAGACAGTCAGGCAGACAGGCGGGCAGGCAGGCAGACAGACAGTCAGGCAGGCAGGCAGACAGACAGACAGTCAGGCAGACAGACAGTCAGGCAGGCAGACAGACAGAAAAGTTTTCCTTCAAGGCAACACTGATGTCCTTTAAACCATTTCATATAATTTACCATGGCTTGAAGGAGCAGTTGCACCAGTTACAAACTGTGAGGCCACATGTGGTTTATATCCAGGCTTATTAGAGATAGAGATGCATAAAAATGACAGCAGTAATATTACGTTTACACATTTTAAATGTATTCCCCTTCACAATAATTCGTTTTCAATCACATTTTACTTGCAACCTTTCACCTTAGTTTACAGCACTGGTGAAAACAAACACATTTCTTTTTATACATTTGTTTCCATTTAAACGGCAGATCCTGGAGGCAGAGGGCATGGCGGTGCCGGAGGAGGTATCCTGCATCCTGCAGATTGTATCAGAGTACCTGAAAGAGCCCTGCCCCATCACCAGCCTCAGTGGCTCTCAGGGGCCGCTGCATCCTGAGGCCCTCAAACATCCACTCGGAGAAGAGGGAGAAGGTAAAGGGAGGAGAGAGACACACCAGGTAAGCTGGTTAGGAATGTGTGAGTGGTTGGTTTTCAAGGTGAATGTAAATATCACCCTAACTGATCAAATCGTTTGTCTTTTGGGCTTCAAGATGAAACACGACACAGGTACGGAGTGCTGCCTCAGCCTCTGCCAGGCGGTGTCCTTCCTCCCTGCAGCTGAAGAGGACGAGGAAATGATGATGAGGAAAGAAGATGAACATGGCAGGTGTACACAGAAACACTCCATACACATACTTAATATAATTTGACTGATACCTTCATCATCTTTGACCCCGTTAAGACCTGGTTTTAACATCTGTCCTGAGTGATCCAATCACAAGTGGTCACAAGTTCAGGTCTGAACACACCCGTCCTGAGATCTGATCGCTGGTCTGGGACACACACTCTCGCATATGTCTGTATCAGGGAAAACAAGCATTGGGCACGGGTCAGGTTCAGACAAAGAACACAGAATGGCTGTCGAGTTCCGGTTGGCCTCGGTTCGTTGACTCTCGGGCTCTGATGGGTTCAGACAGAAAAATGCAGCCTGAGCCGCTCTCTCTCTTTAATACACTGACCTGTCTGTCGCAAAATACTCAACGTTTTAATTATCTTTTAACACCAAATCCTCTTCATCCTCGTAGGTCAACTCTCAACTCAACACTGACCAACACATAATGACTGATTCTTTTTTCAAATGGGTAAAATCTTTTCCATGGCAGAGCTGCATACAGCATCTCTCTCTCACTCTCTCTCTCTCTATGTGTATTTGTAAATAGAGCAGGGAAGTGAAATCTGATCACAAGTGTTCACAGACATTTTTTTAACAGGTGTGAACAGGACGCTGCCCTCTTGTGGTTAGATCTCTTAGGCTGAATGTTAGTACCTGGTCTGAACAGGGCATTTGTTATTGTCACTATAAACAGTTTTACTAATACACTCAAATGACATAATAATCATTGTTTCGTTCTCTTCTTCTTCTTGTTCAGCAGAGCAAACTCATCACAGAGCTTCAGTGTGACTGTGTTTCATCTCCTCTCTCTCTGTGTTTCAGGTGAAAGTAGTCAGCGCAGAGTGAAAACTCTGGGTGTTCTCACTGTGTCAGATTTTGAGTGCCCTCTCTGCATTAGGTCAGTGTCCTCAAATCAATGGTATATCACTGTCTCCTGTGGAGTCATTAATCAGACTGAATCTGTTCTCAATCTCTCTCTACTCACAAATAATCACCACTAACGTCCACTGTACTAAACATTCCTCCTCTCCGCAGGTTGTTCTTTGAGCCGGTCACGACTCCCTGTGGTCACACCTTTTGTAAAAACTGCATAGAGAGGAGTCTGGACCACAACCTCCGCTGTCCACTCTGCAAACAGCCGCTGCAAGAGGTGACCAGCACAGACACATGCAGTCATAGATCTGTTTTCAACATGAAGGCAGAAGAACCTGTTTTAGCTCCACTTTTTTTTTACTTGGCACCACATTGTGGTCTTCAGATACCAAAGTTAGCTCTGGCAGGGTGAGACAAAACTCACTCCTTTGCTTTGCTGACAGCTTTGTAAAAATGATTTATAACTGATTTCTCATTAATGTCTGCACGAGGACTCCCCCGGTTTTTTCATTGCTTGTGACAGAATCAAACATCTATTGTTAAAAATACTGCTGTAGTTATCTGTATGCTTGTATCTCCATGGACAACACTACATTTGAATTTAAGAAGATCAATAAAACTATTAGTTATTCAAAAATAAACCAAAGTTTTAACTACAAGTTTTAATCCCTTATTTTGTTTTTTCCTGTTTGAATATAATAGTATTTATACTATTGCTGATAACCTACTCTCAATTTTTTCTACCCAGTACCTAAAAAACAGGAAGTACAACCCCACGATTTTGCTTCAGGACATCATGAACCAGCGTTTCCCATCACAGTTGGCTGAGAGGAAGCAGGTTCACGATGCTGAGATGGCTGAACTGTCCAAGTAGGAACCTCTCTATGGAACATACAATAAAATATAATTTAGATTTAGGATTTACTGTAGCCGCTCTGTGGACTGTCTCCCTGATTTCTCCTACGCCTTGTCTTTGCAGTCTCAATAAGGACATCCCTATATTTGTTTGCACGGTGGCTTACCCTGGAGTCCCCTGCCCCCTGCACATTTTCGAGCCTCGGTATCGGCTGATGATGCGACGCTGCATGGAGACAGGCACCAAGAGATTTGGCATGTGCAGCTATGAGCATGGCAAAGGGTATGAAGCACACAAAAACCTTTTCAGCAACGTTAAAGAAATTGAAAAAAAAATCCTGGATCCAACCCCTAATCCAGATTTGCACCAAAATTTAATTGGCTCTTCCTGATCCAAAACACATCCTTCTACCAAGTTTCATGGTAAACTGTTTCTTTTGCCTAATCTTGCTTACAAACATTCAAACCAACAAACAAACAGGGGTGAAAACAACAACAGAATATATTTGTAGCTCAAAATGAACCAGATTTTGTGGAACTTTCTGTGACCTACGATGCTTTTCTGTATCTTATGTGGCAAATATTGCATTCAGAAAGTTTTCGCTTGGACATTGATGAGATTTCTGGTTTTATCTAATGCACCACAGGTTTGCTGACTATGGCTGTATTCTGGAGATCCACAGTCTTGAGTTGCTGCCTGATGGACGGTCTTATGTGGACGCTGTGGGTGGCAGCAGATTCAGGGTGCTTAAGAGAGGTCAGAGAGACGGTTACCACACTGCTGACATAGAGTACCTGGAGGACCTCAAGGTCAGCACCTAAAAATCACAATCTATACTATACTATAAAATGTTACTGCTCGACAACACAATCACTCTCCTCTCCCGTCTCTGTCCCCCCCCTCTCTCAGGTTGATGATAGTGAGTTAGAGCTTTTGCAGCATCTCCATGACAGTGTGTACCAGCAGGCTCAGGAATGGTACCTGCGCATGGGCAGCCGCATTCGTGAGCAGATCGACAGACAGTACGGCACCATGCCAGAAAAGGAGGAAAACATTCAGGTTGGGGCCTTAACATAATAGTGGCAGCAGTAGTAACCATTAAAACATCTCATTGTCCATGATACTGCAGCTGCTTTAAAACATGCACTGAACGTCGGACATTCTCTGTAAAATGTCAAAAAGATCCTGTGTGAGAATATAGCAGGAAAATGTCCAAATTGCATGAGTGGGTGTGTCAGTGATGTTGGTAACACGCCACAGACGCAAAACTGAAAAATCAGACTCAGTGCTTTTTGCAGCACAATTTATGTTGTGTCTCCTGCTGCTCTGCCCTGACACCACCCCTCGCCTCCAGACATTTTCTTGTTGTTGTGAACGCGTCTGACTTTGACAATCTTCTGCTTCGTCCTTCTTATGTGAAAGGCAAAGTTTGGAAAATGTTATGACCCAATTTTCCCCATTTCTGGAGTTCACGTCTGAAAACGGCTTATCTTTGAGCCATTGGGCCTTAGTTTACCTCCTGTTTTGAATGTCAACAGCCAGTCATGTTGTCTACTGCTGATATGATGTGGACCTTGTTTCCTTACTGATGAGAGTAAACAAAAGAAATCAGGTCTATAGTTTCCTAATGTGTCTAGACGTTTTCCATTTAAAGGTTTCAACAGTCATCAAACAAAAGTAGCTGATTGGTTTAGTTCATTTAGTAGAATTCATGTCACCAAAGCCTGCCATTGTTTTTTTCATGTATTTATATTTTTTGTTTACTCATGCTCCTGGTAGACACTGATTTGTTTATTTGCAGAGACTTCAAACTTGTTTTTAATTGATCAAACTGCATTCAAAGCTACATTATGGTACAGTGGTAACATCCCACGACACTAATAAAAACAGACACCATGTTCACTGAGATAGGATCTATGCATGCCGCAAGCTTTCAGTGAAATAATAAAAAATGATGAAGTAGTTGGAAGTTGTGGGGGAAAAAACAATTAAGAGATAAAAAGTTAATGTTCAAGTGATTTCCGCTAAAAGGTCTAATGGGCTTGGATAGTGCGCCAAGCTTTTTCCTAATAAATCAGGTTCATGTTTTTGTTCTAATCCTTTTTTTTCTATCTCTTGTAGTCCTCATCCAACGGCCCAGCCTGGTGCTGGTGGCTGCTGTCTGTCCTGCAGCTGGACCCAGCCTATCAGACCACTGTCCTGTCCCTGACCTCGCTCAAAGACCGCTTGGGACACCTCCGCCTCGTTCTTGAGTACTTCTCCCAGAGCTAGACTCCGCAGCACAGCGTTTTACTGACGCACAGATAAATGGAGTGAAACCGTTGAATGCACTCACACCACAGAGTTTTGGGACTTTATTTTGTGTTTTTTTTTTTACTACTCTGAATCATAGATGGACTGTTATAAAAGCAGCTCGAGGCCAAATCACCTAGTCTAAAGGTGCAAGGGTTGTTCTCTTATAAAACAGAGCAGTTGTGCAGGTGTTGGATTTTTGCTGTTTGAAATTGCATATGTTTTCTTTCTTACACCATCTTCTACCCTGGGAATTCTTAATTGCAGGGTTGACCAAAGATGCTTCTTATTTATGGTCATCAAAAAGTGGTTAATTATTATAGTGTTATTATTTGTGGATAAAATAAGTCGTTTTCTAAATAATAATATGGAAGGTCGACACTAGGTGTCACTGTTTTTTCACCAGTTATTACAAACAGCATCACCTGAGCTACTACAGTATAGTGATATTAGTGTCCTGCATTGACTCAGTTCAATTTAAACTCTTTGCATTAGTAAAGCTAAGTTTGAAGTGAGAATAAACATCAATAGCACAACACAATTAGTGGAAAGGTTTTCAGGACTATATGCACATACGAGGATTAAACTTCATGCTTTGCAGGTGATTGTTTTGAGTGATTACCGTTTGCTGGAGGGCTTTATTTGCTTTTTAGTTGCATCTATTGGCCTTGACAGCAATTGACTGTGACTCGTTTTAATGCCATTCAGTAATCCCAAAAGATCCCTATTTCCTATTAGTAAATATTGCAATAATAATTTGAAGTGTCACTTGGAATAGCAGCAGCTGGAGGAATTTCTTTTTATGAATGAACTCTGCTGCTGTTGTCATCTTCTGGTGAAAAAAGAAAAGGAGATTGATTTGGGTGATTCAGGCGTACCAGCTTTGTTTTTTACGTATGAACCAGTGTGATGATGTGTGTTGATTTGGCTGATGTGGATGCAGCACTATATGTTTGAGTGTCATCGTCAGTCGACGTGATATTGTGCGAGCACTGATACCAGCTGGTGTCACGTCCGCTGCCTTTAAATGCAGAGACAGAGCGTGATACATCTCCTGTGCAGGGACTGGTGTAGATTTGCCTGGTGGTCAGACTTGGACTGAGCCCCCCTGTGGTGGCTCTGTGTGGGTGGGCCACCACACCTACTGTACCTCTGGCCCCTAACTCTTGCTCAGCGTGTGCTTGGCCCTTCTAACAACCCACCATGGTGCCCCCGAGTGCCTGGGCCAGACAAACTGGAGACCTGCAAGTCTTAGTCATAACATTATAAGGACATACATGTGATTTTTGTCATTGTCATATTTTTAGTGCTACATTCCATAGAATGTTAAATCTACAATGTTACGTGGAGTTATTTCACAATCACTAACAAGTACGGGCGTAACTGGGTGAAACGAGAGTTGATGTGGTTTATTTTCTATTTTTCTGTGTAATGTGTTTAAAAGCTAGTGTGTAACTTTCTGTGCGTACACGGACACTGACATCGATTTCACCATCAAAGTGTGCATGCAAGGCTTCGTGTGGACATCTGCAATGTTTACCCTCTGATTTGTTGTGTCGCATCTTGACAAGAGAAGCAACAGTGCATGCACTCCTCCGAGCCAAACGATAAAAGATTTACATAAAACTATGTGTCCAAAAGTGAATTTAACTGAGGCCTTATAAGGACAGTTTGTGGAATTAAATCTTTGTATGTCTACATCACAGCCTGATTTAGGCTCTGGCCCTCATGCCGTTTGTATGGTGGACAGTGAATGACCGTGTTTTCGTGGCCAACATATCACTTTTAAACAGAATCAGACTTAGTGCACCAATCACACTTAAACAGTAAGATTCTCCCTTATGTGTATATATATTGTAGCTTAGAATACTAGAGGACAAATGGACGGACTGTATGGACACTGGGGCAGCAGTGACCATCTGAATTACTACAACCTGGGCACTAACAATTTACTTGAGGAGAACAAACACTGTTTTTTACTATTTCTTAACATGGGGTTGTTTGACGTCAAGGTTTCTGAAGCTGAATCTGGGAATAAGATCAGAGCCTCAAGACTTTAATGTGCCAGTTACCACACCTTTTCTCCACAGCTGCTGATTTCACTGAAAAAAAAGGATGCACCATAAAGCTGAATTTCCTTCAACCAGATACGAATAAAGCTCACTTGAATCAAAAAGGGATACATGTTTGAATGTCCAGCCTCGTGAGCCTTTGTGGTGAACACATGACATGACAGCAACACATGAGTCCACGGCCACTGAGGTGAACTTCACCCTCAGAAAATCGTATTTTTGCGAAGTGACATTATTTTGTGTTTTGATGCTCAGAAGTAGTTTCTCACACATTTTTGTCATGCATATTTCTGTGTATTACTTCTATTACTTGAAGATACCACCTTTCATTGAATAAAATGGTGGATTACTGTTTATTGATCACAGCAATCCGTCTAGTAGTGATTTACTTTGTTTACACTGTCTACAACAGAACTCAATCTCTGCTACAGCCAGTATATTTGGCAAATCAGATATTTCACTCCCATATTTTTAAGCCGAACTTGCCAGTTATCATTCAATAGCTTCAGCTTTGGTGTTGCCAATGCAGTGCACTCATGATTCTTCATCTCATTTAGACCCACAGCTTTTGCCCCTTCTTACACCCTGGCAGGCTTCCACTGTAGTCGCAGTTGTGGCATAATTATCCATCAGAAAATGTCCAGTTAAAACGTTTTGCACTGAATCCACATTGTCTCTAATGGAGAACAGGGAGCATAATAAGTGACTTGTTGTTGGCAGCGATTCCCCTGCGAGGACAAGTCTTACACTCGTGTTGTACTTCAGAGAGGCTGTGAAAAGCACCATGGCTGACGTGTTCCTGCTATGTGCTGCAGCTTTGCAGGAAATGTTGGCTGATGTGGTCTGATGGTCTGTGTGTAAACTGCAGACATGTCTGTTGTTCTTGGCACAAATACATCTATGTTAGTACATGTCAAACTAAAACTGAAGCAGTTTTCATGTGGTGTATATGTATTCTGCTTCTGAGCCAAGAGCAGTACATTATCCTGATCTGATTATCATTTATTTGCTTATTAAATGTTAAATATATCAAATTTAAAAGCAAATCCTTCATCATCTTTATTAAATGTGCCTGGTTTTTTTTTGTCTAAGTGATTTTTAAATGTTATACCACCATGTTTTGGTGGTTACAGTGACATTACGATCTAAATGGAGATGCTGAGAAATGGTGCAATTCTCAGTGTGAGAGAAATTGGAAGAGAGGAGGGGTGATGGGAGTGAAACATGCCTCACATACTTATAGATAGACACTTTGGCACAGAAACAGTTATAATTACGGAGAGAAGTGTGAAGTGCTGCAGCTGCAGAGGGCTGAAAGAAGCCTCTGGTTTTCTCTCTTGTGGATAGAAATTAAAATTAGAATAGCTAGAATGGGTATTCCCAGTGAATTTATAATTGAATGATATTTTTAGGCTTTCTTCCAGCACTTCCATTGTGTAGTCGTAGAGAAATGGCAGAGATTGCTGTGTAAAAGTTCACTGTTTGTGTTATGTTCTTCTTTCATCCAACCAATTTATAATGTGGGAGGAAGCCCCTGCAAAGTGTGATCCTCACAGCAAGGGACAAATGTGAACACATCCTTCTATACACAAAAACAAGTCTGCATGTTTCCACCAGGGGGCAGTCTGTAGCTATGGAAGTCTATACAAGTATAATACAAACGGAATCACACTTTATAAACAAGGCGCAATCTTGCGAGAATATGGCTCATAAGGAAAAGGAAATGGCTTTTTTTTAAAAACAAGCTCATGGTTATCACAGTTTGGGTCAAAAGAAAAGCGAGGTTCTGCATGGGAGGGAGAGCTAATCAGATCAAACAAGCTGGGAGGAAGTGGTTATTTCCCATCAAGCTTCAAGAGAACAAAACATTTGTGAAAGTAAGAAGAGGATGTGTTGTTGTGCGTGAGCAACACTCCACAAACAAGAAGGTAAAAAAAGAAAAATCAGCATAGCAGAAGTAAGACACGTTTCATGACTGTGTCCTCTGCATAGGGAGCAGGCAAATGAAAAGAGGTTTCACTGGCTTCAGCTGGGTTCTGTAATGCAGCTCAGCATCTACATCAAAGCCCATTACATTTGAAGAATGCTGCAGCTTTTCTGTACTAAATTGATCCATCAGCTTGCTCTGACTCCTTGCTTGTGTATGACTGAGTAAGGATGACAGGCGTTTTGTGGGAGTTATCACAAAGAGGGGGACCGGCTGTGGTTCTGTGTGTGTGTGTGTGTGTGTGTGTCCTGGCATGACTACTGTTAAAAAATTTCCTCACAAGGACAGAAATGTGACGAGAATCCTTCACTGAGAGGCTTTTTAGACTAGTTAGGAGTCAGCATCAATAATTTAAGTTGGAATTAATGTCAGGTTAGGGTCAAGGTGTAACAGAGAGGATGGTTTGAGTATGAGCCCTGAAAACCATATTACACGTGGGTGTGTGCATGAGTGATGCTTGATGCTTCAATAATCTTCCATAATTATAAAGCAACTCGCTGGGGTCCCCCTTAAAATAGAACAGCCTGCTTTGTGCAATATGGAACGACAGCTAGAGAGTCACAAAGAGTATCAAAGGATGAACGCAGCACTGTTGTCATAGGAACCAAACTCAGCCTGCAAAACCTCAATATCAAGGGTAAGATTATCAATTAGATAATTGTAGAACTTTTGTCTTAAAGTGAAAAAGCCTGAAAGACAACACTCATGGAGCTAATTCCCTCAATACAAAACAACAAAAAGAAAGTCACAACGAGTATCAAAGCATGAACACATAGAAACTTAATCCAAGCTGTAAAACTTAAATATCAGGAGCAAGATTATCAATTAGGAAATTATTATTTTTTTGTCTTTGAAGTGAAAAGGTTGTAAAATCCCACAAAATAGAACAACAGCAAGTCACAGAGAGCATCAGAAGATGGATGCAGCTCTGTTGTCATAGGAACTAAATCCAGCAATATCAAGAGCAAGATTATCAATTAGGACATTGTAAAACTTTTGTCTTTGAAGTGAAAAACCCTGAAAGACAATACACTGCAAAGTCTGACAATATTGAACAACAGCAAGAGAGACGTAGAGAGCATCAGAGGATGTAAGCAACTGTGTTGTCATAGGAACTAAATCCAGCCTGCAAAACCTAAATATCAAGAGCGACTTTATCAATTAGGACATTGACAACTTTTGTCTTTGAAGTGCAAAAGCCTGAAAGACAAGACGCAGGGAGCAAATTCTCACGTCTATGTGTGGTGAATTGGAGTGGAGGGGAGACAAGATAGTGAGCTCAAGTTACCAAACGTGTGTGTGTTTTGTGCAGTGCTCAATGCCTCTTCTTTGGAGGATTACAGTTTTCCTGAGTGTATGTGTCAGTAAGTGTGGCGTGTGTGTTCTTCTTTGGGTGTGAGGCTGTCTGTCTTTGTATAATCCTCTCGAGTGTCAACACGATGATAACGCCCTGAGTACCCTCTTATGTGGCAGTGCCTCTGAGAGCCAAGGTAAACATATTGGCCACCTGCCTCTGTCAGCACCATGGGACATCTCATGAATACCTTGATATACAGAAACACAAGAGAACAGAAGAAAACACAAAAAACAAAGACTCTCGACCCAGAAAGCAGCATTGTCTTGCAGGATTAGGAAACAAAACTCTTTCCTTTCTTCTCAAAGATCTTACTTTTTCCCCTCCAAGACTGATTTAGGTCTGGCTTGAACTTAAGTTCAATGAGGTAACAAATCTGAGCGTTGCATGATTGTCCATAAATAAAGAACGATCGGCTCCTTTGTCCCCACTTCAAAGTAAATATCTGAGGCAGAATCGGCACAGATTGAGTCGGAAGAAGTGAACTTGGCTGTCCATTTATATTCTGGAAATTCCTTGTGGAAGAAAAACCAAAAAAACCCACCAACAAATGAAGCAAATCAGGATCGCCTGCTGGGAAATGAAGGACAGAAAAAACAGGAAGCAGCGGAGGGAGGAGGGGGTGAGCGCTGCGGGAGACATGATATAATGCAACTGGCTCACCGATTCATAGAGTTACTGCCTGCTGGGACACACACCTGGCTGAGTTTCATAAAGTCCTCATGATTGTATAAAATGAGGTGTTGCTTTTTTATATATATTTTCATACCTGAAGACCAGAGAGATCTAAATGTAATCATGGCAGGACATGCCCAAAGACAGTTTGTTAGAGCAATGCATGTGTGCATTTGCGTTTGGGCATTCTTAATTCTTCAGCTGTGTACTGTGTTGTGTTGTGTGACCAACAGATGTGTTTTCATATGAGTCCAAATATACCCATTTTGTGCTTCGTGCAAACTTTTTGCAATCAAAAGATGGCGCCATGTGTGACTTCAGAAAGATAAAATGTAGCACAGCCTGTTTTGTGTCACTACAAACGTGTCACAAAATCTAACTGTTTTTTTTTTTTACAATTTTACTGATTTATCTCTTTTCATTTGCTGCAATCTTCTTCTATCTTTCAGCTCTTGGTTTGAATTTTCCAGCCCAAAAAAATATTGTTCCTATTGTAGCAGACTGTGAAAAAGCAGTAGAAACCTTTTAACAAAGATCTGTAGAACATGGGGAAATGGGAAAAAGGGAAAAAGGGGTTAAACCAACAATTCACAAGTCAGAGTGACTTTCTTTACTTAGCAAAAGCATTTCAAATTCTTTGGTGGGACGAGCTACATAAGCCTTTGACACCTATGATGTAACGAAGGAGAGACAATGTCAAACCAGACTGTCAAAGTCCAGCACATTGTAGAAAAATGTCTGCTTAACGAAAGGGATGATGGGACGCTGGGTGACATACAGTTTGGGAGAGATTACCTTTGAATAATGGCCATCTGAAAGATTAAAAACTATGCAACAGTTCATAATGAATCAACAACAACTTCCAAGACCATGGTGAGGATAGTGAGTGTGAAAAAGATGATGAAAGAAGAAAATAAGTAGTTGAGGAAAAAAGAGATGATGCAGAGGAAGCAGAGGAATTGAGATAAGAGGACGGACAGATTCAGGGGTCAGCTCCGTTTGATAAATATGCTCATTTTAGTAAATACAGTCATATCAGTCTATTCCATCTCATCACCTAGTGGCCATAATTTTACCAGGGGCGTCTT